GGAGGGGGGGGGGTAAAGAAGAGGAAGAAGACGAAGGTACATCATAGTAAAGAAGAGACAGCGGCATATGTGCAGGAATATAAGAAGGGAAAAAACGCATAAACGGGTGAAGAAGACGAAGGGGGAGAAGGGAGAAAAGGAGCCCGGGGAGAAGTAAAAGGGACAAAGAGGGAGAACCGTTGCTGTGGAGATCGATGTTCAGGGGCGTACGATGGCCGGGGCGCTGTCCGAGAACGCGCCGAGACCGGTGAGCGTTGTGACCGTTGATGCTGGTGGTGCAGCAACCGTTGAAACACCATCGGTACCAACAGCCGAAGTATCCCAGGACACAAGGTGTCAAAATGCACGGGAAAACCGCGAGACAATCCGCTGTTTTGCCTCCACAGAGGCACAAACAGAAAACACCCCGAGGCTCATCGAGGAGGAGCTCAGGGATGCGAGACGACGGGAGAGGAGGGTCCGAAGACATCATCGGAGGGCCATGAGGAGCTGCTCGATGCCTCCGAGTTATCCTGGTGGACCTGGTTGTGTTAATACGACTAATGGCATTGGCACAGCACCAGGTATGCCGCTGGTACAGCCAGTGGGGGGTTTCCTGCATCCACCGCCACCGCATCTTGGCCTCAGGGGCCTCAGCCTCGGCCTGCCATTTCCAGTGCCCGCCAGTGTTTCTGCCTTCGGCAGGTCAGCAACTTTTAACTCTGTAACGGACCTTTTATTTATCGATACTTTTCATTGCCTCTATCGCACCTCTCGATCTTCCTTTCTACAACTTTTTTACCTCCGAATGAAAGCTTTGTAATCGTGATTTTTTTCGATTTCTTAATTTTGGGTGGAAATTCCTAGAAATGTCATGAAACGTGAAGAAAAAAATTTGTTTTAAAAAAATGTCTGTATGTGTGTGCACATACGCGTTCGTATGTTCAGAACTGTCCCCATAACTCGAGAATTATTGAGGCAAACATGTTGAAATTCTGGCTGCTAATTGGTACTACTGAGACTCAAATTTGTGCTAAATTTTAGCTCGATCGGTTGACCGGTTCCTGAGATATAGCGATTCTTCGAAAATCTTTTTTGCTGATATCTTCTGCGCCATTCGACCCATTCGATTTTTTTTTAATGCTCGTCATGATGATACTTATTTAATTGGATTGAAAGAAGACCATTACACCCTGAGCAATGCAGTTTTATTCTCGTTTTTTCTTTTTTTCGCTGAAATTGCTAGTTCACACGATAACTTGGAAAATAATCGAGATAGAAACTTGAAACTTGATGCGATTTTAGGTTTTATGGCACCAAAGTTTGGGATTCTGGATGAACGAAATCGGACCAGTAGTTTCGGAGATTCAACTTTGTATGTAAAACTCTTTTGCTCAATATCTCAAAAACTATTGGTCCGATTTCAATTTTTTTTCAAAATATGCGTTTTGATGTTATTTATCTAGATCCAACAAAACACCATCCCATTGAAATTTTTCGAGATATCGTCGTTTTTGTATTTTCCAGTCGGAATTCACTTTTGCGCACTATGACATGGGTAAAGTTCAGGAAAACCTCTTGAAACTTTGGCTTCTAGTTCGGATTGTCGAGGAACATCGCTATATCAAATTTTAGGTCGATATATTTGATAGTTCTTGAGATGGAACAATTCACCCAAAATTCATGGGAAAAAAAAATCAACGTATCTATAATATCTATATTTTACCGTTCATTTTCACATCAGCATAGCTGAAAACGCTATATAATATGAATATATTATTTTATTTTTTTATTTTTTGAAAACACATTGGGATTCATTCGGAAGCCTACTACCAATGAAAATGGTAGAAATGAAAATAGGAGAAAAAAAATACGTGAAGAGTAGCAGTCATATGTACTCTGTCAATTGGCTTCTGTCGCGCTGCTTGTTTTTCCCTCCAAAATTGGTGTTTTCTTTTTTTCAAGAGCTTAATATTAACACCGGGGCGTTGTGAGCAAAAGGGTTAATTTCGGTTGAATGGCGGATATATAGTCCCCGATGAATATCAATATTCCGACTGACATTTCAATAGTTTTTTGAATGATAGGAAAGAGAAATTCATTGTGGCAACTGAGTAATCGAATTGCCATCAGATTATTTTTTGTTCGGTTATTCCTCTTGGCGTCTTTCACTCTTTTGTATCTCTGTACACGCGAGATTCGCTTTCGAGACTAACGGTAGCTTCCATCATCAGTCACGGTCCGGTAAGAATTGAATTTCGAGTATCTCAGTGTGATTTTAAGCCTCTATGAATTGGAATGACTGGTCAAAATTAATCCAGTACAGAGGCTATTGTGTTTATTTCTTTCATGTTTAGAGATAATTCAATGGGCTGGGACATCGACGTCCTTGACTCAAGGCTTTCGTTACACGTGGCTCTCCTTGTTTCTTCCATATTTCCTGCATTATCATTTTTTGTGCACTTTGAGATTGTAAATACCGTGTGCCAGGTGCTCGATGAATATTCCTTTTCCTACGACGTGCCAAGTGGCGCGCCTTTGTAATTCGCAGTACCCCATAACCAAGAGGCATGTATTCAGGAGAGCCTCAAGAGAGGGTCTTCTTATATATGAAAAAATTCCACAAGCGGAAACGATGAGTCGTGGAATTGCACGAACGTAGAGTAATGCCGAGACAATGAACTAGACTCTCAGATGCCGATAATTTTCAATTCGAGTCGCGTGCTCGTGGAAGAAAAAAAAATTTCCTTCCGCTTTAATAAATTAATTCTGACTGGTTTAGGAGAGGAAGAGAAAAAATGTAAAAAAAGGAATAGGGGAAGTTTACTCGTGTCAACGGAGACACAAATTTTCCGGTTTAATGGAAATTTATATATGACTTTAACGCTCTTGTTCTCCTCTTTCACCTCGTACTGCAGCTTTAACGAGGTATACCCAGTGTTACGCCACATGAGCCATGAGGATAGAAACTCTGGGCTCTTTGAGGCTCTCAAAGAATACAAAAGATTCAGAAGCTGAGAGAAATTCTGGGTGACGGATAATTGCGGAATACCCGAGAGTGTAACGATACGAAATTTTGCACACACTGCGTGTATTCCCACACATGTCACTGGGTTAGTTGAGCTTACAATATGTACAAGATTTATTCTGGGTAATGAGTGAAGAGTGCCTCTCTGCTTGATGATTCCCTGTGCCTTTTACTCCACTGATGTTTCAGTAACATGCGATAACTCAAAGAATTACTGAGCCCCGTCTACCTCAAAGAGATTGCATTCGACATAGGCCAATGGGTAAGGCCCTCTGTACCTACCGCAGTCCAGTTTTGTAAACGAAAATCCCACTTGAATGTTCGGAGCGGGGGGTGGATGAGGGTACTAAAATAGCAGGCACGGGATCTATATATTCACGCTTGGGTGAATCAAACGTACCGAGGGGTTGCTTTTATATTCCTGCATTCAGTGTGGGCTTTATTTTTCGTGAATCATTCTTGTATATTTCCTTCTTCTCACCCCTCTGGTACTTTGGCCAATGGCCCTGGGTCGATGGACTACACACGTGCTTGTCAAAAAAGAAAAAAATTAGATATATTCACACGGAGAGAAAAACGACCGAATGTCACCAAAAAATTTCTTCAGCTTAAAAAAATTGCATAAATATTTGATCACTCCACGATAGGTTTGAGACACGAAATTGATGCTTTTCGGCATAAATCAGTACGGTATTGAATGAAAATAGTATATTTCAGTACGAGTGCCATGGGGTTTTTTACTCGCGTGGAGTTGGCGTTCGAGCGGAAGGTGAGGACTGGCCAACTGCGCGAGTAAAAAACCCCATGGCACTAGTCGTAAACGATATTTTCCCGTAGTGATTTTCACTTTTACGAATTTGGGGAAAGGCCAATACCAATCCTCGGATGAGGAAATGTGAAGGTCAGTAGGGGAAATTGATTTTATTTTTCGGAAAGAGATAATATTTTTGAAACGATAAGAACCGTTTGAAATACGAAGATGACGTCAATTGTTTCCTTCAAACTCATTGCGATGAAGAGCAAACGACAGTCATTATTTGAAATATTTGGAGATTTTTTTCGCATGACATTCATTTAATACTCATATTCAAGTCATGAGTACGCGACGGACTTCGTACATGGCCTGTCTTATTCTCTAGAATTTTTGTCGCAAGCCATAACATATCAGCGGGAGAAATACACTGATAGACAGAACTACATGCATTCGTTAATAGTTAACGAATGCATATTTGAGAAATCTTGTTTGCCTCGACTTTCACCTTTCAAGTGAACCATTCGTTAACTACTGAAAATGAAAATTTATTTGGTCATATTCAACTCTACTATTCGTTAATAGTTAAGGAATCTCGTTTGGAATAAATGAATCATTCTATCAGTGTACTTTTTTTATATCAAAAATCTTTTTTCTCCCAGTGCATATAATATCCGTATATATCATAATATTCAGCAATGAGAAAATGATCTGTAAAAACAGTTTTCCTCGTTGCATTTCACTGCTGAGTCGAGAGAGATACGAGTGAAAAGAAATGGGATTGGAGCAATGGACGTTTTCAGTAGTATGAGAAATCGACACGAGGGCTTATCTGACAAATTAAACTTTGCCTTATCTCGGTTTGTTGGAGAATCCTCAGTACCCTTCAATGGCACACCTCATCCTGCATCGACCCTTCTCTACTCAACTCGACGATTGGGTCGTTAAATGTGAATAGTTTCCCTTCCAGTTGGATGGGAGAATGGGGGGAAGCGAGTGTACACGATCTGTTTACGGAGTTTGAAAAATCAATAATTTATTAGAACGCTCCACCAAATACCGCCCGTTATAACCCACCTTCGAAACTCATACTCCCCCATACTACTACTATTAGACCCAACGAACAAACCTGAAAAATACTTCGACAGAAAAACGATAATTGACCTCTCACTTTTTTTTATCCAGTTCGTTCTTCACCACGAAACAAAAACATAACCGAAAGGCCGTGGATTGTCTCGAAAAACAATAATTGGCTTTCATTCTTAATGCCTCCTTGTTAACTAGGACAACTAGTCAATTTGGGTTTGGTTTGCGTGTAATCGAAGGTGAACCCTAAATTCAACATTGAGGTCGATTGTTCGTCACCGCTGCGTTTGTTAGCATCATATGGATGCGTTGGTTAACCGGTCAGCACTCGCGCTATATGACTCTCTCTTGCAAAAATTTTCAAAAAAACTTTTGTATTGTCTCAAGCAACTATCCCTCTTTCCTTTGGGGTTAATAAAAACCATCTAGCATGTTTGAATAAATGATAAAAAAATATTTTATCGAGCTCGGACGAGGAGCGTGTGAGATTCTCTCGCGGCGCGAGTACAGTCGATGGTGAGACTCGCTCGCATCGAGCAGTTCCGTGAGGCGTTCGGTGATAGGGGAGGGTGTGCCTGTACCGCCCACCTAAGGGAAAATGCCAGTTTTATATTTTATATTTCAACTTGAGTATAAAAAACGTATTTGTGAGACTTCTTTAACTATTGAACTCGTTATTCTCGAAGTGTAGACGCCTAATTCTCCTTAGAATCCATAAAATTGATTGAAAATAAAAGAGAGGGCCTATTGAGCGGTACTACCCGCCGTCGGGTAATACCGCTCGGCACGATTCCAATGCCGCTCATAGGGTTTTGCGTGTATCGCTCTCGCCGCAACCTA